TCCGCCCACCTCAGCTTCCCAAAGTGCTGGGATTACAGGCGTGAGCCACTGTGACCAGCCAGGCATTGAAATTTTGTTGTCCCCTTCCCCTATCCCCACATGTCCCATTTTTTCCTTTCATGTTTTTGTGTATTCCCTAGATTTACCTGATTATAGCTGATTCTTTCAATGACATTCAGACTCAGAAGGTCTTTTAACATTTAAAATTTATTATTTCTTAGGAAAAAAATAGTTTCATACTGTTTTGGTCTTTCTTTTTATTTTTTCCTTGTTTTTAATAGAATCTTGCTCTGTCTCCCTGGCTGGAGTACAGTGGTGTGATTGTAGCTCACTGCAGCCTTGAACTACTGGGTGATCAAGTGATTCTCCCACCCCAGTCTCCTCAGTAGCTAGGACTATAGGCACACACCACTGCACCAGCTAACTTTTACATTTTTTTTGTAGTGATGGAATCGCACTCTGTTGCCCAGGCTGGTCTGGAACATCTGGCTTCAAGCGATCCACCCACCTTGGCTTCCCAGAGTGTTGGGATTATAGGCGTGAGCCACCTTGCCTGGCCATGCTACATTTTGAAATGATGGAAATGTTTTAAAATCTGGGTTTTGTATCTGTGTGACAATTTTAAAGGGTCACACATAGACACACGCCCCCAAATGTAAAACTAATATGACGAACTCATAATAATATTTTACAATGTGTTTTGCAAAGATCTGACTTTCATAGTTTATGAAGAACGTATACAAACCAATAAGAAAAAAATTAGTAATGAACAGAAAATATGGACAAAAGATGTGAAAAGGCATTTATGAAAAAAAGAAATAAAAATTTTACTTCACTTCTAGTTAAGGAAATGAAAATCAAAGTGAGGTGCTACTTTGTTAAAAAAAATTAGATGAGCACGTGATACCTATTGTTGATGGGGATATAAAGCAGTGGACAGTCTCCTGCACTGTTGATGATTTAATTGGTTAGGAATTCATTTTGTCTCAGAGTAATAGAAAATTTGTATATTGATAGTAGTTTAAACAAATAGGAATTTATTTCCTCACACAATAGAAAGGTGGCATTTTGTTAGCAGCTTGATGATGTCATGGCTGGTATTTCTTAATATTCTTAATCCCTTATAGACTACTTCATAGACATGAATTGTTTCAGATATGGTCAAATCCAAGGTAAGAATAAATTGGTAGAAGAAGGAACCATACTAGTTGTGATTGTCCCTTTTTATCAAAAAAGCAGAAGCTTTCTCAGATCTCTGCAGCAGATGTTCTTTTCAGTTTTTTTTTTTTTTTTTTTTTTTTGAGACGGAGTCTGGCTCTGTAGCCCGGGCTGGAGTGCAGTGACCGGATCTCGGCTCACTGCAAGCTCCGCCCCCCCGGGTTCACGCCATTCTCCTGCCTCAGCCTCCCAAGTAGCTGGGACTACAGGCGCCCGCCGCCTCGCCCGGCTAGTTTTTTGTATTTTTTTAGTAGAGACGGGGTTTCACCGTGTTCGCCAGGATGGTCTCAATCTCCTGACCTCGTGATCCGCCCGTCTCGGCCTCCCAAAGTGCTGGGATTACAGGCTTGAGCCACCGCGCCCGGCCTCTTTTCAGTTTTATGGTCACTTACATGAGATTAAGTATATTGCTGCTTTGAATGAAATCAGTCTTTTATTAGTAAGGAAATTACTAAAATAGTGAGAAGGGATATTCAGTAGGCAACTAAAAGTGTCTGCCAGATGACTAGTGCAACTTTTCCAGAGAGAAATTGTCAGCATCGGCCGTGTACAGTGACTGACGCCTGTAATCCCAGCGCTTTGGGAGGCAGAGGCAGGTGGATCATGAGGTCAGACGATCAAGACCATCCTGGCCAACATGGTGAAACCTCGTCTCTCCTAAAAATACAAAAATTAGCTGGGCATGGTGGTGCGCACCTGTAGTCACAGCGACTCGGGAGGCTGAGGCAGGAGAATTGCTTGAATTCGGGAGGCGGGGGCTGCAGTGAGCTGAGATCACGCCACTGCACTCCAGCCTGGGTGACAGCGAGACTCTGTCTCAAAACAAAACAAACAAAAAAATCATCAGCTCTTTCCAAATTTAATATTATTTTTCGATCCAAAAGTTACACTCTTCAGAGTTTACCCACAAATAAGTTTCTGTTTTTCTGAATCATTTGGAGAACTTGGTAGAACTATAACTTTCTTGGCCCTTCCCTAGACCTCAGAATCATTGTAGTCGGTAAGCAATCTATATTAGTTTTAAACAGCTTACTGGTTGACTTGTATGGAGCCAGATTTGCAAATTTCTGCGTAGACGACTTGTGTGGAGCCAGATTTGCAAATTTCTGTGTAGACGGTAGTGAAACCCAGATTTTTAAAGTATGGTAGTCATAAAGTTGTAAAAAAAAAAAAAAAAAAAAAGTATCCAGTCATTATATAGCTGACTTTAAAAAAAAATAACAAAAAACTTCTCCCCCCATTCAGTTAAGTAATTGCAGATGAGCAAAAAGAATAAAGGGCACATCTCTCTTTTGTATGGAGAACAACTGTTAACACCAGCTGTCAGTTTTATTGTATTTTATTTTATTTGGTGTAAATCCTTACAAATCTGTGAGTGCATGTGTGTATGTATATATATGTATTTTAAAAATATATAATGGATGTTTTTCTGTATCAATACGGATATACATATTTCCCTTTTAATTCTTATTGTTCCATTATGTGAGTGTATGATTTATGTTTTTTTTTTGAAACGGAATCTCACTGTATCGCCCAGGCTGGAGTGCAGCGGCATGATCTTGGCTCACCGCAATCTCCTCCTTCCGGGTTCAAGCAATACTCCTGCCTCAGCCTCCCGAGTACCTGAAACTACAGGCGCGTGCCACCACACCCTGATAATTTTTTGTATTTTTAGTAGAGATGGGGTTTCACCATGTTGTACAGGCTGGTCTCGAACTCCTGACCTCAGGTGGTCCTCCCGCCTCAGCCTCCCAAAGTGCTGGGATTATGGTCATGAGCCATTGTGCCTGGCCGAGTATACCATTTATTAAAGCAGTCTTTTTCTTTTATTTTTCTTTTTTTTTTTTTTTGAGATGGAGTTTTGCTCTTGTTGCCCAGGCTGGAGTGCAATGGCGTGATCTCAGCTCACTGTACCCTCCTTCTCCCAGGTTCAAGAGATTCTCCTGCCTCAGCCTCCTGAGTAGCTGGGATTATAGGCATGCATCACCATGCCCAGCTAATTTTGTACTTTTAGTAGAGACGGGGGTTTCTCCATGTTGGTCAGGCTGGTCTCGAACTCCCGACCTCAGGTGATCCGCCCTCCTCGGCCTCCCAAAGTGCTGGGATTACAGGTGTGAGCCTCCATGCCTGGCCAAAGCAATCTTTTTCTTTTTCTTTTTTTTTTTTTGAGACGGAGTCTCGCTCTGTCGCCCAGGCTGGAGTGCAGTGGCCGGATCTCAGCTCACTGCAAGCTCTGCCTCCCAGGTTCACGCCATTCTCCTGCCTCAGCCTCCCGAGTAGCTGGGACTACAGGCGCCCGCCGCCTCGCCCGGCTAATTTTTGTATTTTTTAGTAGAGACGGGGTTTCACCGTGCTAGCCAGGATGGTCTCGATCTCCTGACCTCGTGATCCACCTGTCTCGGCCTCCCAAAGTACTGGGATTACAGGCTTGAGCCACCGCGCCCGGCCCTTCTTTTTCTTAATATACCCTCCATTTTTGCTATACGACAGTGCTGGTAATGAATGCCCTTAAACAAATATGTTTTTTTCTGATTCTTTCTATAGTATAAAATATGTACAATCGCTATTTGGTACACTCATTTTGATTTATGTCTTTATTAGTAAAGATATAATTCTTTTATGTGTTTATTGGTCATTTGCATTTCTTCATTTGCATTATTGTCTTTAAAGTTTTAATCATCTTTTTAATTACTATTAATATATAAGCAGTAGTATATTCTAAGTATATTTTAAGAGTAAATCAGTTTTATGGTCAGCTTAATTTTGAGAATTCCTCATTAAAAAAAATGGACATGCCCTATAATTTAATGATTTGGTTTCCATTCAAGCTATTAGTGGAAGAGATTAAGGTGATTATGAAAATATAATGTGGTACTACCTTAAAGGGGTAATTCCCTGTTACCTTATAGCCTTAAAAATTAGATGAAATAATTTTAGATATGTTGTGCAGTTATTATCCAGACTGTAAGCCTTTCTCAAATATGTTTTTTAGAGTTAGGGCCGTGCTCTGTTGCCCAGGCTGGAGTACTGTAGCAGGGTCAGTGCTTACAGCCACCTTGAACTCCTGGGCTCAAGTGATCCTCCTGATTCAGTGTCTCCCGAGTAGCTGGGACTACAGCTGTATGCCACCATGCCTGGCCTCTTAAATGTATTTTAAGTAACATTTATTAACTTTAAAAATTACTTTTTAATTTTTTAAAACCATAATTTTTATCTTCTATAATAAATTTGAAACCTAGCTGTCAGGATTTATAATTCATAAATAGATAGATATATTTAAGCAATATGAATTTATCTTTTCTAAAACTTTATCCTGAGCCAAGTGATGAGCTTCCTTTTGAAATGTTTATATCCATGACCAGAATTTTTGTCAGTTTTACTTTTAGCCTCCAGAACAGTTATTAAAAATATGCCGTTTTCCAGTGATTCATAGCAAGGTAACATTCGGGCACTGAATCAGATTCTTAACTAAATCAGAAACATTGAATTTTAAATAGTATTTCTTTGTTAGGTAGCAGTCAACTTACTTGTTTTATGAATGAGGTAACAAATCTGTAGTTATTTGGTTTTTATTCAAATATCAACAACAAAATGGCAGTTTTGTGAAGAATTTATAATTTTATTTGTAATATAAAAACTAATGAACCTTCTGATTCTCACTTGTAGGGGATTAAGAATCACATTTCTTTAATAGCCAAATTAGGGCTTTTTAAAAGATGTTGTTGAGACCAAATAATTTTATTGGCATTTGGAAGATATTTCTCTTTTTTGTGTTTCCACAGATCATTTACTGAAGACAATATGCAAAATTCTCACATGGATGAATACAGAAATTCTAGTAATGGCAGCACAGGCAATAGTTCAGAGGTAGTGGTAGAACATCCTACTGATTTCAGTACTGAGATTATGAATGTTACAGAAATGGAACAGTCACCTGATGACTCTCCCAATGTGAATGCATCTACAGAAGAAAGTGAAATGGCAAGTGCTGTGGACCTTCCAGTGACGCTGACAGAAACAGAAGCAAATTTCCCTCCAGAATATGAAAAATTTTGGAAAACTGTGGAAAATAATCCTCAGGATTTTACAGGCTGGGTATATTTGCTTCAATATGTAGAACAGGAGGTTAGTAACTATTAAAATGGTATCAGAAGGGACAAATTAATCAAGTCATGTTAATTTATAATGAAACAGTAGACCTTATTTATGATTAAAATCAACTCATAATTTTCAAATGAAGTTGAATAACATTAGGTAGATACATTTTTAGCTTTGAAAATAGCTTATAGCTTTTGTATGTTGTAGAGAGTCAGTAGTGTCAAAGCTTAATATTTTGTAATAATTGAGGTGTAAGTGTGTGTGTAAAATTGTTGAAATAAAATGTTGACAAAATTAGTTTCTTCTGTTTCAGTTGCATTTAGAAGAAAAAAAGTCAAGGAATAAAAGAAGGGCTGCTCCATCGGCAGAGCAGCCTGCATGTGGAGTTTTTAAGCCTGCCATTTATTATTTTTTTAGATAATAACGTTTGAAAGGAATAATAAATATTTTTTTGACAGCAATTTCCACGATATTTAAATACTGTTTCATTTTTATCAGAATCACTTGATGGCTGCCAGGAAAGCATTTGACAGATTTTTCATACACTATCCGTATTGCTATGGTTACTGGAAAAAGTATGCGGACCTTGAAAAGCGGCACGACAACATTAAACCATCAGATGAGGTGCGTACATCACTCAATAAACTTATCTCCAATAGGTACTGTAAGCCAATTAATAACAAAACAAAGATTTTTTTTTTTTTTTTGGCTGGCAGTACCTACCATTTATGGTCAAACAATTTTTATAGGGTATTTATTTGCATTTGTCACTCTTGTGGCATTTGTAGCTAATATTTTCTCTCTTTGTTGGCAGGTGCGTTAAACCTCTACAGTTTGTCAAGCTTTGCAGTGCAAGCCTCTGTATTACACTGCAGCTTAACAAGTAGGGCAGGGCTTTTCTCTCACTTACATTTATTTCTCATTTTCCAAACAATATAGTTGGTTTGCTAGTCACATTTGCTACGTCTTATTGCATTTTTGGTCAGACGCTGTCATTGATGCTCTAATGGGTCTGTGCCCTATGGTCTGTAACCCAAAGCCTGCCCACACAACCCGGTCAGAATGCAGGGACTGCTGCGCTTTGAAGATCAAGACTCTGCACGTGGGGATCAGAACATTGCCATGTTCTATCCAACCTCCACCCAAATGGTAATGGTAGATTATTTAAACAAAATTCCTGTAATTAGTATTTCTAAGGTTCACCGGATAACACAGTGTTGCCTCTCTGTTAAGAAATAATTAAATATTTGAAGTACAGTTTGCTGTTTTCTTCTTAGGTTTATCGGCGGGGGCTTCAGGCAATACCTCTTAGTGTTGACCTTTGGATACATTATATAAACTTCTTAAAAGAAACATTGGACCCTGGTGATCCTGAGACAAACAATACAATAAGAGGGTATGTGGAACATTGATACTGAAATTTTTTTTATGATATAAATAATTATTCTCATGTTGATAATAGAGCTCATGAAAGCTAAGCTGGAAGTTTAACTTCTATTCCATTGTTAAAAAAATAATACATATAATAAACTTATGCTTTATGATTTGAAAATGCAGATAATAAAGCCCTCCTACATTCCATACCCCTTATGTCCCCAGTTCCACTCCTCATGGTTAATAGCTTGGTGTGTGTTCTTTCAGATGTATGTATAAGTACATATTTGTGCGTATGTTTTCATATTGGTCTTTGACTTTTTTTTTTTAAACAGTGTTTGGGAATCTCTTCTTGCCATATTTTTTAACCATTACAAAAAGTATTTTATAATACTTTATAAAAAGTAACTTATAAGCCAAAGTACTCTACTGTATTTCACCAAATCCTTATTTATAGGAAATAATCAGTGCTACAGTGAACATCTCTGTACAAGTCAATATTTTTGTAGAATGCACTAGAAATGGAACTTCTGTTAAAGGGAACACAGAACTAAGTTTTATCACGTGTTCCTTCAAAAATGGTATCAATTCTAAACTCCCACAGTGTATGAAAATAATCATTTTCCCACAGCTGTGCCACATTTTTTGTTTGTTTTACCTCCAGTGGCATCTCTGTTTTAATTTGTGTATATCTTGATTGCTCATCCTGGTTTACCATCTTCTCATATGCTTATATAAGCCATTTCTTAAATTACCTGTTGATATCGTTTGCTCAGTTTTCTATTACATTATCTTTTTCTTGATTACAGTAGTTTGTTAATGTATTTGTTTTCGGTTTTCAAAAAAAGCATTTGCATATTGCTTAAGAAGTTAGCTAATTACTGCTCGTAACAAAAAGTACCCCCTCCACCTCCCTTCAAATATTTCAGCTCTTTCTTCTGGTATTTTCCACCACGTGTATAACAGTAAATCTACGTTGCTTTCTTTCTTTCTCTGTTAGTTGTAGACATTATGTATCTGTTACGGTAAATGAGAATTTTAACCCACTTACACTTTGTTTTCTCATTCCTTTCCAATATAGCTACAGGATAGGTTTCAATAATCAGCTTCAGTATTTTTTTTTTAATCATTGTAAATCCATAAATAAGGGTGGGCACAGTGGCTTATACCTGTATTCCCAGCACTTGGGAGGCTGAGGTGGGAGGAGTGCTTGAGCCTAGGAGGTTGAGGCTGCAGTGAGCCGTGATTGTACCACTGTACTGTAGCCTGAGTGACAGAGTGAGACCTTGTCTCAAAAATAAACATTAGCTGGGTGTGGTGGCGCATGCCTGTAGTTCCACCTACTCGGGAGGCTGAGGCAAGAGAATCTCTTGAACCCGGGAGGCGGAGGTTGCAGTGAGCCGAGATTGTGCCACTGCACTCCAGCCTGGGTGACAGAGCAAGACTCTGTCTCAAAAAAAAAAAAAAAAGATCAAAAACCTATAAATATTTTTCATCATACTGCCCTTTCATTTTTATAACCTTTTTGGTTTTTAATTTCTCCTCCTCTGCCCCTCATTTTTCCCATTTGTCTAATTTTCTTTGAACATTTAAGGTTTTTTCATATTCTCCAACAGCTTTGTAGAAGGCTTTAAATATAGCTTTCTATATAATCAGACCTGTTAAAAAATGTGTAAGTCCCATTTTTTCCTCTCCTTTGAGCTGTCTCTCCTGGAAACCTTTCTACTATAATCTGGACTGGTTTTCTAGTTCTGCTGTACAAGAGTTGTCTTGGGATTTTCGTATCATCATGGTTCTAGGAGATGTCTTTACGTCACTTCTGGGAGAGTTTATTATTAGATCTCACTCTTTTTTGATTTTATGTCCAACTTTTAGAAGAGTGTGTTCTGTAACTTCTTGTTAAAGGATGCTTGGATGAAAAAATAATTTTAAGGTTTGGTAAGCTATAGAATTTGGAGTTGAAAATTATTTTCTCTGTAGAGCTTTGAAGGCATTATTTATTCCTTTATAGCTTCTGCTGTTGCTTTTGAGAAGTCCAAAACCATTCTTCTAGAATAGATTCTCTTTCTGTAACATGTTTTTCCTCCGTGGAAGCTGTTAGGATGTTCTCTTTGAGTCAGATGTAAATGCAGTTTTATAAAAATGAGCTTTGATATGGATTTTCTTTTTCTTATTGTGATTATTGGGTGATTGGATGAGTCTTCAATCTGAGATTCTAATATCCTTCTATTCTTAGAAATGTTATTATGATGGATATTCTTATTTTGACAATTTCCTTGCCTTGATTTTCTCTGTTGTTTTTAATAGTTGGATATTGGACCTCCTCTCTTAATTACTGAGTTTTTCTTTTCTTCTTCCTATTTTTCATATCTTAGACTGTCTGGCTTTTTGAGGTACTTCCTTGACTCTTGTATTGGATTTTTAACATCTTCCATCAGATTCTTTTTTTTTTTTGAGACAGAATCTCTGTCCCCCAGGATGGAGTGCAGTGGCGTAATCTCGGCTCACTGCAAGCTCCACCTCCTGGGTTCATGCCATTCTCCTGCCTCAGCCTCATGAGTAGCTGGGACTACAGGCACCTACCACCATGCCTGGCTAATTTTTTGTATTTTTAGTGGAGATGGGGTTTCACCGTGTTAGCCAGGATGATCTCAATCTTCTGACCTCATGATCCGCCCGTCTTGGCCTCCCAAAGTGCTGGGATTACAGGTGTGAGCCACTGCTCCCCGCTCAGATTCTTAATATCCAAGAATCTTTCTTGTTCTCTGAGTGTTCCTTTTTTTATACTCTCCAGTTCTTGTTTCATGGCTGCATATCTTTCCGTTTTCTTTGACGATACTAAGGATAGTTGAGGTTTTCCTCTGTTCCCAGGACTGTTTCCTCTGAAATTTTTCTGTTTACTCATTTTCGTCTCTGAGATACCTGATCTCTGGATTTTTGTTCTTATTACAGATTAGATATTAACAAGCTGTATGAGCTAGGCACAGTGGATCACTTGAGGTCAGGAGTTCGAGACCAGGCTGGCCAACATGGTGAAACCCTGTCTCTACTTAAAATACAAAAAAATTAGCTGGGTATGGTGGCAGGAGTCTGTAATCCCAGCTTCTCAGGAGGCTGTGGTAGGAGAATTGCTTGAACCTGGAAGGCGGAGGTTGTAGTTAGCTGAGATCGTGACATTGCACTCCAAACTGGGTGACAGAGTGAGACCCTGTCTCAAAAAAAAAAAAAAAAAAAAACAACCTATATGGAAGCACTGTGTGTTTTGTATGGGACATTGTCAGTTGGCCTATAGGGTTTCACAGCAGCGTAATCACGTGGCCACTCTTTTTTGCTGGTGGATTCCCAGTGATAATAACCTTATATTTTATTCCTGAGCCAAGCAGTTTCTTTAGAAAAGGATAATTTTATTTACCTGGGGAATGGAAAGCTAGCTTCTCAAGTAAGTCCCTATAGCTGGGCGGGAAAGTTGAAGATTTCTCACCATTCATTAAGTATACCTTCTTCTAAACGTTCTGTCTTTATTTCATTACCTTCTTATCTTCTTCCCCTTTTCTCTATACTTTTTTCAGTGTCTGGTTATTTTTCTGAATCATTTGGGATTCTGTAGGGACAGTAACATCTATTTTATTCTTTAGGAAACCTTACACCACATGTGCACATGCATGCATGCACAGACACACATACACACATGCTCTTCAATTGTTTATCTCTATATTAAACATTTCCTCCAATGTTGGTATGTCTTTAACTTTTTTTATGGTGTCTTTTATCATACGGAGTTTTATTTTTCCTTAATGTGCTTCTGTTTTAATTCTTACTGGTTTCTGAGTTTTGTGCCTATTTTGCCAAAAACATATAAATCTTGTATTTTGTTCTAACTTTTCTGTAGTTTTTCACTTATTCATTTATCTGACTTTAATTTCTATCTGTCATGAGATAGACATTTTTATTTTATATTTTATATTTTCCTATTATATATCATATACCAAATATTCACATACATTGATCTCTTTTTGTTTTCTTGGCTCTGTACTGTTCATCCATTTTTCTGTTACCTGGCCAGTGCCAAACTTGTAATTACTGTAGCTTCCTAGTTTCTTATATTATCTTTCAGGAAAATGCCTGCTGCATTATCTTTTTACAAAGTCATTTTGCATTTTTGTATACTAGATGAATAGTGGAATTTGATTTTTTCTTGTTCCACTCAACATTTTTTAGTGCTTTATTGAAATTGTGTTAAAATTGTGGGTTAACTTAAGGAGTGTAGTTTTATACTTTTAAAAAATTTCTCTTGATTTTAAGATACTTAAAAGTATGTATCTAAAAGCTTTATCTCATTGGAGTATTAAATCTAGTGATTAAAATTGCTTGCAGAAATCTCTTGACATGACTAGGTATTTTAAAATACTTTGTAACAAACTTTTTTCTCCCCCATTGGAGACAGAGTCTTGCTCTGTCATCCAGGCCAGAGTGCAGTGGTGAGTGGTGCAATTTCAGCTCACTGTCACCTCCGCCTCCCAGGTTCAAGTGATTCTCATGCCTCAGACTCCTGAGTAGCTCGGGTTACAGATGTGTACCACAACACCCAGCTAATTTTTGTATTTTTAGCAGAGATGGGGTTTTGCTGTGTTGGTAAGGCTGGTCTCAAACTCCTGGCCTCATTTGTTGGGATTATAGGCGTGAGCCATTGTGCCCAGCCTGTGATAAATTTTAATGATAGAATTTTAGAATTGAGACAGGCTTTTGAGAGGTTTAAAGTATATGTATGTCTTTTTTTTATAACCGCGGTGCGCTCTGTCACCCAGTCTGGAGGAGTGCAGTGGCGCAATCTCGGCTCACTGCAACCTCTGCCTGCCGGCTTCAAGCAATTCTCCTGCCTCAGCCTCCCAAGTAGCTGGGACTACAGGCATGTGCCACCATGCCTGGCTAATTTTTTGTATTTTAGTAGACACGGGGTTTCACCATGCCGGCCAGGCTGGTCTGAAGCTCCTGACCTTGTGATCCATCTGGCTCGACCTCCGAAAGTGCTGGGATTACAGGCGTGAGCCACTGTGCCTGGCCTTTGTATACTTATCTTACAAGGCAGCCAGATTCCTTGTTGGAGAATTATTTTTGCTTGAAAATATTCTTTTTTTTTTTTTTTGAGACGGGGTCTCTGTTGCGCAGTCTGGAGTACAATGGCGCGATCTCGGCTCACTGCAACCTCCACCTCCTGGGTTCAAACGATTCTCCTGCCTCAGCCTCCCAAATAGCTGGGATTACAGGCACCTGCCATCATGTCTAGCTAATTTTTGTATTTTTGAAGAGATGGGATTTCACCATGTTGGCCAGGCTGGTCTTGAACTCCTGACCTCAGGTGATCCTCCCGCCTTGGCCTCCCAAAGTGCTGCTATTACAGGCACGAGCCACCACGCCTGGTGAAAATATTCTTAAATTGAGATAAAATTTGCCTCTCTTTAACTTCCTGCTTGTTTTAATTTTGTCTTCTGTCATAAATGAATCTATACAACAGACATTTCAGATTTAACAAATACTTAAATGTCTACTCTTACCTATTTGCAATGTGTACATTTTGTATTTTCTATATGATAAAATTACATAAAGTACATTTAACTGTTCCCTTTGTTTTCTCACTCTTTTTAAGCAACTCTTGTATGCTTTCTGTTATTCTGTCTACTGTTTAATCCCTACTTGCATAGGAAACAGTTGAATATAATTTTTGAAGTTAGCATTATTTTCTAAATTTAGAAATATTTTATAAGTGATTTTGTCTTGGAAAGATAACTTAAGAGTAATTTAATTTTTCAGAACTTTTGAGCATGCTGTTCTAGCTGCAGGAACAGATTTCCGTTCTGACAGACTGTGGGAAATGTATATAAACTGGGAAAATGAGCAGGGAAACCTGAGAGAAGTTACAGCTATATATGATCGTATTCTTGGTATTCCAACGCAGCTGTATAGTCATCATTTTCAAAGGTAGGTGGGAAATTCTGATCTTTGAAACATCTTTGATTACTCAGATAGTTGATAATATTAAGTATTATAATTCTCTTGAAATGTTATGTAAGCTTTTATTACTTGGAAAGAGGAATAAATTTTGTTGCTAATCACAACCTACATGCTTGCTTTTGACATTTTTTTCATGTGCCTTATGAAATGTTTAGAAATTTTACTGTTTTTAGTTAGAAGTTTTTCCTTATTCATTGTAATAGATAAAGAAACACAGGAATTCTGTCTTGTCTAAGGTACTTCAGAGTAGTGAAGGAATGAGCAAATAGTAAGTTTAGTTATTTATTTATGGCATTAAATTGACACAGTGCCTGGCACATGATAGATGCTTATTTTTTTTAAACTTAATGATTTGCTGAATATACATTCTTGTGATTGCTATAACACCTTATATCCAAAACAGTGAAGGATGCATTTTGTATAGTAAGTAGTATCTATTTTCAAATAATCAGGTATCATTCCATTTTAATTTTCTACCATGATTTTTCTGTTATGGTTGGTATCCTTTTAATGATTACTGTTAAAACAACTTATTCTGTGTGTCATTATTTTTGTGTTTTGTTTTCTGCTTTATTCAGAGTATTACATCAATAAGGATCCAGAAAGTCTTTCTGAACAAGTATGAGGATTGTGTCTTTGCTTTTTAAAAATTGACATGTTTTCTATTTTTTGTTATAATTTTTATGAGCAGTCTTGAATAAACTTAGGTACTTTTTAAGTGAGTGATTTTCTAAATTTTTCTTTACTACCAAAAGTAGAAGACTTTTATGAAGTATTTGTAAAGTACTAAGGAACAGTTTGCTAGAGGTAGAAGTTATACAGACTCAGGTTAGAAATAGGAAGCATATAGATAGGCATATACTTTCTGCTTTCGATGAAATAGAGGAAGTAGGCAGGTTTCTAAGATACAATGACCAGGGAATACACTTGCTGAAAGACGTTAACACAAGCAAGAATTGGCATATGGAAATGCTTGGTAAATAGTTACCAAACACATAAGTACAAACGTACTTAAATTACCTGATGGGCCAAAGAGGGTGTCTTTTCATAGACTAGTTCTTCTGTGATTTAAAGTATAGGAAAAATCTATGACTACAAGACTTTACTGATGATGAAAAAAAGTATGTGTAGGAAACACACATAGCATTTTCTATATCCCAGACACTCTGCTGAGTGTGTTATGATTCACTTAATCCTCCCAATAACCCAGTGAGGCAAGGACTATTGTTCCCATTTTATGAAAGGGGAGACACAGAGAGATGAGCATATTTATCTAAGGCCACAGAGTTTGTAAGTGATTGGAAGCTACTTGGAACCTAGACAGTATGGCCCTAAAGTTTTTGATATGTTATCCTACAAGTCCTTTTTTATTTCTAAATAATTATCCCACCAGGCTTTTATTTATTTATTTTTCTTTAAGTCATCAGTTACCCTACGCTTTTAAAAATGCGTATATACTTATAATAGATATTAGTGGGATTATATTACACATACTGATCTATAGTCTGCTATTTTTCACTGAATACATTTAGAACCACTTTCCTTATCAGTTATAGCAAACTCACGAGTAGTCTTTATGCAGTTCTTACAGTTTATATAAGTTAACTAATTCACATGACTTTGAATTACTTTGAGAACCACTGAATTTTTTTTTTTTTCCAGTAACACATGCTTCTTTCTTAAAGTCATTTATTTAGCATTTGCTGTCTACCTGTTGATAGGCTAAGTTGTGGGAATGAAGGCACGAAGAAGATAGCATGCCTGTGAGTTGGTCAGAAGGATAGAGGAGGAGGCATGTGTTAAAAAACGTATTCTAAGTGCTATACAGTAATAATGGAAATACTTTATTGTGCTTGTGCATTAGGCTTGTATATGGGATGTACCCTGCACATTATCTCTGAGATAATGTCTAATTTAAAACCTTTAGTGTGAGGACTTTGTGATCTGGTCTAATATCCAGGTCCAATCCCTGGTAGTTCCTGAGCTCTAAACACACCTAAGTCTGATAACTTCCAAAAGGGCAATGCTGTTTTATATCTTTATGACTGTAATACCTTTTCCTCTTTCCACTTGTCTAGTGGACTCATATTCCTTGAGACCACACAGTTTTGTGTCTTCTCTGTGAAATTTTCTCTGGTTCACCTATATTGAGATATCTAGTCTGTCGTTTGTGCCACCACTTTACCTACATTTGTTTACATTTATATCAGCACCAGTAACACTGCTTTGAATTTATGTCTCCTATATCCTCAACATGCCTGTCAGTTTCTGAGGCATAATTCTTTGTATCTCTAATACCTAAGAATAGACCTCAATATGTATGAGACACTCAGCCAGTCTTTACTGAATAAATGTTAGCTTTATAATACAAAAAACTGCTGAAAAAATACTGTTTAATATTATGCACATTTTGTCACTGTTTTAAAGAAGTCGTTACATGATGTAGCAATCAAGTCATTTTAGATTTATGTACTGTATGTATTTTAAAATTTTACCTTATTTTAAGTTTTTTAATTCATATGTTGACAGTTTTGAGTTTTAATATTCATCTGTAATTAAATCTGTTTTTTCATACTACATATTTGAGAGTTACTTCCTCATTTCTAATTTTTTAACATGAGGCAATCTATGTTAATTTTTTTCCTCCTGGTACTGAAATGGGCTGTTAGCCTCTGTAACCATTGACTTTGCAAAATTTAAATTAGATTCCAGTGTTATTTATATACTTGTTTTTTTTTTTTTTGAGATGGAATCTCGCTCTGTTGCCCAGGCTGGATTGCAGTGGTGCATTCTTCACTCGCTGTAGCCTCCACCTCCCAGGTTCAAGTGATTCTCCTGCCTCAGCCTCCCGAGTAGCTGGGATTACAGGTGCCCGCCGCGACACCTGGCTAATTTTTGTATTTTTAGTACAAACGTGTTTCACCGTGTTTGCCAGTCTGGTCTTGAACTCCAGACCTCAGGTGATCTGCCCACCTCAGCTGGGATTACAGGCGTGAGCAGGTGCTTGGGAGGCTGAGGCAGATGATCACCTGAGGTCAGTAGTTCAAGACCAGGCTGACCAACAAGGTGAAACCCTGTCTCTACTAAAAATACAAAAATTAGCTGGGCGTGGTGGTGCGCAACTGTAATCCCAGCTGCTTGGGAGGCTGAGGCAGGAGAATTGCCTGAACCTGGGAGGTGGAGCTTGCAGTGAGCCAAGATGTCACCATGGCACTCCAGCCTGGGTAACAGAGCGGGACTCCATCTCACACACACACACACACAAAGAAAGAAATGCTGAGGGTATTCATTTTCAGATGAAGATGCCATGCTTACTTTAAGATATTTCATATTTGAGGTTCCAAAGATATGTTCAAATTGTGATGGTGTAGATATTTTAGCTCCTCAACTTGGTGTTTTTGATTAAAATTTGTATATATACAAATTATTGCATGTTTTTATAAAATAGCGAAATGATTTTTTTTTCAAAAATCTTTTTATAGATTAGCTTAAAACTAATCTATATTTCTTTGTGCAGAGTATTGGCAGTTGGATATGCTAATCTGATTAGGAGAAAGGTTTGGACTTGTGTTATAGTCTTGAGAGTCACCATGGTATACTTATTTCAAGCTGTATCAGTGAGATTGGCCAGAATTATGTATTAATAAAAATAGATGAGAACCAACTGGAGAGTGAAATTCTTGGGAATAGTAGCATTTAGGGCAGGTAGGAAGGGGAATAGGACATAGAGCAGCAGTCAGAGGCTTGGAGGACCATACTACAAAACAAGTGTCCATTTAATTTTATATATGAGGTAATTGATAACCTTAATTGGGAAGTTTCATTGGATTTTTGCGTACTCACGTAGATTGAAGAGTATTTGGGAGGTGGGAAGGAAATGCTATATTTGTTGATTATTTACAAGTGATCATTTAGAATTTAAATGTGGATCACAATATTTAATTTTACTGTGACTTTTGTGTCTTCGTAGTAAAATAGATTCTATGACACACAAATAATAGGTATTAATCATCTTATTCTACAGTTGAGGAAACTAAGATTTAGAGAAAGGAAAAACTTCCCTTAAGTCAGATAACCAGTAACAGACAGAACTGAGGTTTCAGTTTATGCCCGTCCATGCCTTCTCCATTCTACTGTAAAGGAAGGAAGAAGTGGAAGATGTTTATAGACTGTTTTATCATATGGTAGTGTTTTATCATATATGGTAGAGTTTTAATATAGAAAAGAAGGAGAAAGGTTATGATATTTTGGTTTCTTTCTTTAAATCAAATCCTTTGAAAGAAGTAGTATGTAGTAGGAATCTCAATATGAGATCTAAAATTATGATTCAAATATAGAATATATATTTTTATTGTCTTCCTTTAGATTTAAAGAACATGTACAGAATAACTTGCCTAGAGATCTTTTAACTGGTGAACAGTTTATTCAGTTGCGAAGGGAGTTAGCTTCTGTAAATGGACATAGTGGTGATGATGGTCCCCCTGGTGATGATCTACCATCGGGAATTGAAGACATAACTGATCCTGCAAAGGTAACCAGTCTTATTCTAAAGTTCGTCAGTGGCCAGGTGTGGTGGCTTATGCATGTAATCCCAGCACTTTGGGAGGCCAAGTTAGGCGAATCACGTGGGGTCCAGAGTTTGAGCCCAGTCTAGGCAACATGGTGAAACCCCCGTCTATACTAAACGTACAAAAATTAGCCAGGTGTGGTAGCACATGACTGTAGTCCCATCTACTTGGGAGGCTGAGGTGGGAAGATTGCTTGAACCTGAGAGGTAGAGGTTGCAGTGAGCTGAGATGGCACCACTGCACTCCAGCCTGGGCCATAGAGCAAGACTCCATCTCGGGAAAAAAAAAAGGTCTTCAGTGCAGAAGAAACTGGACCTGTTATCCCTTGACTCCATGAGTAACACAGTGATCACTTATATAGCCGGCCATTTACCCAGTGACTTGTAGCTTGTTTGAAATTAATTTCTGTTTAAGGCAAGTGGGGATTGAGTACTTCTACTACGAGACACCCCAAGATAAACTTAGCTTAGAAGGAATATTTTGCCTAGGTTGTGAATCTGCTATCCCAATGTAAGAAAAAAAAAAAAAAGAAATGTATGAAAGTGGTTAATTAGGAAGTTGTGTGATAAGTTGTGTGATGTGTTAATTGGATTTTGCACATAATTGTCAACAGTTAAAAATCTACCACTATTCTAAGACTAAAATATCTGTGAATAATACTGAAATGTAAGCAGTGATACTGAAAATGTTCAGTATACTTTGTGAGATTTATTTTTTCCCTTTTTCTTCCCAAGTTAATTACAGAAATAGAAAACATGAGACATAGAATCATTGAGATTCATCAAGAAATGTTTAATTATAATGAGCATGAAGTTAGTAAAAGGTGGACATTTGAAGAAGGTGTAAGTGTTTTCTAACAGTCTTTAAAATACGAAGTAGGAATAATTTATTTTTCTTTCAATTTTGATAGTACTATCTCTGTTGTAACTTTATTTTTGCATATTTAAGCCATAACTTCAGATGTTCGTCTCATTTATTATAATCATTATCAGTTTTTCCATTTTCCCTAAACAGTTTTAGAATGTTTGAATTCAGATTTACTTGAATTGCAAGATATCTGCTTAATCTGAACAATTTTATTCTAATTGTTCAATTTTTAAAAGTCAACTTCATGGGGTTATACTTTACATACATTATAATTCACCCATTTTAGGTTTATAGTAAAATGAGGTAATTTCCCACAGTTTTAATTCTTTGTTTTTTTTTTTTTTTTCCTGACTGCTTTACTGAGATAATTCACATGCCATATAATTCACCCATTTAAAGTGTACAGTTCAGTAGTTCTTAGTATATTCACAGATATGCACAACCATCACCACAGTCAATTTTTAAACATAATCACCACCTCAAAAAATAACACCTTAACTTTTAGTTGTCACTACCCCTACCTCCTCAGCCGCAACCCTCTACCCCCAGTGCTAAGGTACCACTATCTGCTTTTTGTTTCTGTTGATTTCCCTATAATGGCCTTTCATATGAATGGAATCTTAGAATATGGAATCATTTCACAGATGTATGTATGTACATTGTAGTCATCACAGCAATCAAGATACAGACAGAACTCTTTTAGCACTGCAAAGGTCCCCTTGGCCCCTTTCCAGCCAGAGTTCCCCTTCTCTACTCCTAGCCCTAGGCAGCCATTGATCTGCTTTCTGTCACTATGGTTGTTCAATTTTAAAATTTTCAACAAAGTATAAAATGTTCTGTACATTAAAAAGCATGTAATTGGCAAAATGGCAGAAGAAATAGAAAATGTATTATTTCATTTGTTTGTGAAGCTTAAGGAATTTAAGGGATTTTTAATTTTAAAAGTTTTTTAAATTATGAAATACGATTAAAAAATTTTAATTATCAATTATATTTAAAATAATTTGTATTAACACTGTGCTTGTGCATATTTTGGTGATTTGGTTTACTTTCATTGGCATGTTACAATTTCATTACAGATTAAAAGACCTTACTTTCATGTGAAACCTTTGGAAAAGGCACAACTAAAAAACTGGAAGGAATACTTAGAATTTGAAATTGAAAATGGGACTCATGAACGAGTTGTGGTTCTCTTTGAAAGATGTGTCATATCATGTGCCCTCTATGAGGAGTTTTGGATTAAGGTAAGAAAATCATGTGCTCTTAAACTTGAATATATTATAAACATTGATCTAGTGACTAACCTTTTTTGTACTTCTGTTGAATGTTGTTCATATAACTATATCTGTTGCATTAGGAGATGGTCTGCTTGCAACCAGATTTGACTGCTGCATATGCCAACCTCGTTGCCTCTCTTCGTCCTTCCTTACAGAAACTAGTCTAGTGGTTCAATAAAGGTGCTGAATGGGTTTAAAAATAGAATTTTATCGTTCTGTCACAAATTTAATGACTTGTTCAACTGTAAATTATTCAGTATTTCCTCTTTTCTGTATGTAGTATGCCAAGTACATGGAAAACCATAGCATTGAAGGAGTGAGGCATGTCTTCAGCAGAGCTTGTACTATACATCTCCCAAAGAAACCCATGGTGCATATGCTTTGGGCAGCTTTTGAGGAGCAGCAGGGTAAGAGTGGAGAAATTCAATTGATATTTTTGAGATTTTCAGTTATTTCAGGAAACAGTGGTAACAAATTGAGTAGTAAGGGATGGTGTAAAGCAGAGTTTGGCAAACTTTTTCTCTAAAGGGCCAGATAGTAAATATTTTAGGCTTTATAAGCCATGTATTCTGACTTTTAGGCTTTGCAAGCCATTGTAGCCCCCAGACAGCCCTAGGCAGTATGTAAATATGTGTGGCTGTTTCCCTTTAGTTGCTGGATTTAGCCCCTGGGTGATTGTTGCCAGTATGTGGTTATAAACATTATTTTAGTTGTTTAAAGCAAAGCATAAACATTTAATTACTGTTTCTAGGTAATATTAATGAAGCCAGGAATATCTTGAGAACATTTGAAGAATGTGTTCTAGGGTTGGCAATGGTTCGTTTACGAAGAGTAAGTTTAGAACGACGGCATGGAAATCTGGAAGAAGCTGAACATTTGCTTCAGGATGCCATTAAGAATGCCAAATCAAATAATGAATCTTCATTTTATGCTGTCAAACTAGCCCGGCATCTTTTCAAAATACAGAAAAACCTTCCAAAATCAAGAAAGGTGCTTTTGGAAGCAATCGAAAGAGACAAAGTATGCATTTGTATTTTTAAGAGTATCTTCTATAAAAACACCAGTGGTCAGTGTATTTTCACTGTGGCAACTGTGATGAAAGATTTGGTCTGTATGTAATATGTTTTATTACTAAATGAGGACAACAGTCCCTCTAAACTGATGTTGCCATTTAAAAAATTTTTTCAAATTGTTTTGAATTAAAAGTTTGAGACATAAGATTATTGGGTTAAAATTGTTGTAGACATTGTGATACTTTTTTCCCTTTAGAAATTATCAACAAATTTACTGATTATTAAGTAGAACAGAGGACTTGGGAGAATACTTTATAAACAAAAGCATAGGCATTGCCTGTGTTGTAAGCACATTTGGCAGTGAGATGATTTAGTTTCTCCATAGAGTACTTTTTATGTATCAGTTGAAAAAGGCAGTGTACAGGAATAGGTAATTTCTCAGGTTTTAGGATTTTAGTTATTGCCAGGTCTGTTTAAGATAAAGATTTATAGCAGTTTGCTTCTAGCTGCAGTTTAAGAGGTTTATCTTTTTTTTTTTTTTTGGAGACAGTCTCGCTCTGTCACCTAAGCTGGAGTGCAGTGGTGCCATCTTGGCTCACTTCAACCTCTGCCACGCGGGTTCACGCAATTTTCCAGCCTCAGCTTCCCGAGTAGCTGGGATTACAGGCACACTCACCGTGTCCAGCTAATTTTTGTATTTTTAGTAGACACGAGGTTTCACCATGTTCGTGAGGCTGATCTTGAACTCCAGACCTCAGGTGATCTGCCTGCCTCGGCCTCCCACAGTGCTGGGATTACAGGCATGAGCCACCTCACTTGGCGGTGTTTTTTTTTTTTTTTTGAGACAGAGTCATTGTCACCGAGGCTGGATTGCAGTAGCGTGATCTCAGCTGACTGCAGCCTCCGCCTCCTGGGTTCAAGCCATTCTCCTGCCTCAGCCTTCCGAGTAGCTGGGATTAAAGGTGTGCGCCTCCATGCCAGCTAATTTTTGTATTTCTAGTAGAGATGGGGTTTTACCATGGTGGCCAGGCTGATCTCAAACTTCATACCTCAAGTGATCCTCCTGCCTTGGGCTCCTAAAGTGCTGGGATTATAGGCATGAGCCACCAGGCCCAGTTAAGATGTTTATCTATAGTTGTAGTAAAGATTTAAATTATTTGAAGCATAGAGATAATTTTTTTATGTTTTATTTTCTAATGGTCATGGTAAGTCAAGTCATACTAAATACAAGATAGGATATAGTTTTAATTTATTGGCATTTAACAATTTGTATTGTTTAGGAGATACTAGAATGATCAATTGATTGAAAAATTCATCAGTGTGTTAATGAATTTTTTCACCCTTTTAGATATATGCCGAAAACATTTAGCATGAGTTGTATTTTAATACAAAACAATTTTCATTTTTTTTTTCAAATTGAGACAAAAACTAAGGCATTTTAAATATCTGTGCTCTAATAAAAATATATTAGAAATATTAATGATGCTGCTTTTTACACAGGAGAATACAAAGTTATACCTCAATTTACTTGAAATGGAATATAGTGGTGACCTCAAACAAAATGAAGAAAATATCCTAAATTGTTTTGACAAAGCTGTACATGGTTCATTACCTATTAAAATGAGAATTACATTTTCTCAGAGAAAAGTGGAATTTCTTGAAGATTTTGGTTCCGATGTTAATAAGTAAGATCTTAATTATATTACCTATTTGAATGATAAATGAGCATTGTTATTTTTGTATGGGGATTTGATGATTAGTATAGATTAATACATTGTTAAATTTTAAAATGTTCGCTTAGTTTACTTTTTCCTCAGATATATGTGGGGGTAAATTCAATTTTATAAATGTATATGCATTTAACAGGAAGACATACGGTTAGTCTTTCCTTCAAAACTGTTTTCCCAATTTTAGAGTGACAATTTAAACCATGACTGAATGAGAGAAGGCAGGAAGGAGCAATCCTGTGAAAGGGAAATGGGATAAGGATTGAACCCTGAAACCCAAATATTTAATATATAGGTCAATAAAGATGGATGGGATTAATCTCCAGTAGGAGTGCTGTTTTCTGAGATTGGAGAAGAGGATGGATATGGTCCCACAGAACACGCCTAGTGGCCTCATCTTCATTTTAAAAGGCTGAAAGTTGAGGATGGTTGAAGAGAATGCTCCAGTGGATTTGGGAAAAGGACAAGTTTAAGATTTAATTTACTAAGAGTACAAGTATTGGCTAGAGCATTGCTGAAATTCCAGTCTTACCTGATCTAGTAAGGAAATACCAGTTCCTGTTAGGCATGTGCCTTCTCTGATTATTCTCATTTAGATTTCTGTTGAAACCACTGTAGATAAACTGAGAATTAGTTGTATCTGGGTGTTTGTATATGTGTGTATATATTTTTGATGGCTGTGTAAAATTTCAGTGCAACTAATAGAACAGCTAATGTTTATATTAGTGTATTTTAATGTATTAATGTCTAGATTTGCATGCTTGGCATGATGCCAAATGTTTTATATTAGCTATCTTGCAGAAAATTCTTATCAGTAGAATGAGGGTATAGGGTTCTGTTCTCTTAATAGATGAGGAGAGGAATAAACAAAGATTAGGCATTTTTTCTGAGGTAATGTAGCTATTATTGTGGAGCTTGGACTGAACCTACTTCAGTTTCTGCTCTTAACTGCTTGGATGCTGTGTATTTAGTGTCTTATGTTTACACTGAAGAAGGTACACAAAAGATGAGGTACGTAATTCTAGCTTCTAGTCTAGTTGAATGATATGATTAATAGAGGAAGTAAGTGTATGAGGTAGCAAGTAACTGCTAGGAGGGCTGTGATCTCTCTGTGGATCAGAATGGATTTGTCATGATAAGCTGAGCAGAGGACACAGTGGCGAAAGCAAGTTGAAGCTCATCTAAAAGTAACATCTGCTTCATTGGAGGTTTTTGTGAAGTAGTGGAAGCGTGATCTTGACTCTGTCGTGCATTGAAAGCTAGACTGAATTGATAGCACATGGAGTAGGCAGTTGATAGTAGTAAGCTATTGGAATTTTGACCAGTGATGTTAAATGACATTATTTTAATTTGGCAAAAATAGGCAGACAAATTGGAGATTCAACACAAGTGTCATTTAGTCCATTGGAAGTATAGGGAATGGAGTGTCTATCAGAACTATGATTTTAGTAGTAGAAATTTTAAAAATAAAGGAGTCGCTTAGAAATTTTCTTAGGCAGTTTCTTAAGTAAAAATAACTTTAAATATTTAATAAAGTTTGTTTTTTATATATTCCAGATGATATGTTTTTCTTTGCTTTCAGGCTTCTGAATGCTTATGATGAACATCAGACACTCCTAAAAGAACAGGATTCTTTAAAAAGGAAAGCAGAAAATGGGTATGTCACTTTTTGCTAAGTCAAGAAGGGGTGCTTCATTATGGAAATGCCTTCAAAGACAAATGTTACTTTTGTTGTAATTTACATACTTTATTTTCATGATTTGAAAGTCATGAATGATTCAGAACTTCAGTAATACAAATGTATAGATAACATTCATCTGTTCATTAAAGTTGTTATCTGTGGGAGTTTTGAAAGTTTCCATTTTGCCATTTTATAATAGATCAGAAGAACCAGAGGAAAAGAAAGCACACACAGAAGATACAACTTCATCATCTACACAGATGATTGATGGTGATTTACAGGCAAACCAAGCTGTATATAATTATAGTGCATGGTATCAAGTGAGTATGCATAATTATAATTCTTTGTTCATAGATGTTATTAGCATAAAATAGGATACTTTCTTTTTTAAAAAAATGTTTTTGTTCCAATTGTGTAATACATTCTTTGGTGGTTAAGTACTAGAATTTTTAGCAGTGAACACTTGCTTGTTTTCTTAAACATACCTGCTTTAATTATACTTTTACATATGGAACTCTGCCATAGTTCTAGTATACTAACACACTTAATTTTTCCTTTCAGTACAATTATCAGAATCCTTGGAATTACGGACAATATTATCCTCCCCCTCCAACCTGATGGGAAAAATGTAAATTTCAAATGGAGTGTGTGAAAAGTATGAAATTATTATTTTTTTTAATGAGGGATGTAAACAGTATAAGCTTGTTGTATTTGAAAACCTGTCTTCCTTGTTTCTGTGTAACATGATTTGTTTAGTAATAGGGGAAAAATGTCAATTAGTAGCTTACCACAGATACTGATACTGTTTCCTACCATTTATAAAATTTACTTTTTATTGAAGAACTATTTTTTGATTTTTGCATTAAGCGGTCTAGAATTCTTTTGCAATGCATTTGCAACAGAATTTTGTAGCCTTAAGGGGTAGGAAGAAAAACCTGACTGCAAATCATGTCAGTGTAGTACAAAATTCTGACAACACATAAGGGCTGGTTATTAAGGATTTACCTTTTTTTTTTAAAAAAAAAAAAAAAGGACTTTGCTATCAAGGTTTTGTCTGTTTCAGTTATACTTGTGAATTGTGATCTAACGGCAGAAAGGATACATTATTAAAATACTATGCCTTGGAATAGAGATTATAAATGAGAAAATGGAATGTTTGCATCCCTTTAAAAATGAAAATCATATCAAAAGTATGTTGTTTCAGGAGACTTTGTATTTAGAATATTCATGTAAAACTTGTGAACAAGCTTTCATTTTGATCAAACTGATCATCTTCATTTTTGTAATAAAATGGAAGACTCATCCAGTAATCGTTTATGAATTTATTTTGGGGGCATCAATTAATAATATTAACTTTATGTTCATCTTTATTAGTGGCTCATTGGTTTTGAAGTGCACTTTTCCTAAATTGAGGTATTGATCTTCATGCCAAGATTTCTTCCCTTTTAGCATTTTGTTTCCCCTCAAGCCCTATGCTTTGCCTTCTCATTATACAGGCAATCTGTCCAGATAATTTTACTGGGAGTTACTCCCTGGTTTGATGAGGTCCTTAGTTCCAGTTACCTAATCAGAACAATAATATATTAACACCAAACAAATCACAGTCAGATCAAGACAGTGGATAAATTTTTATTGAGCCACTTAGTTTACAACATGAGGTAAAAGGAAAAAGTTCTCCTTGACCAGTATTTTACACAGCTGTAGGAAAGTATTTTAGACTTCAGGGATTCATAAGGGATTACATCTCTCAAAAGCTGGGATCAGGTAAACAAATTTTATTAACTCCTTGAATTTTCCAGTTGACTCTTCCTTTACCATAGTAACAAGTTCTAACGAGTTATGTAAGTTTCTTCAAGGCCAAGTTTTATCATTGTTGCTAATATCCTTAGAGCTGAACTATTTCAGTCAATATCCACTAATTCCACTTCAAAAATGAGTTTTGCATTTGGTGGAATTCTGTTGAAGAAGTCAAGGTACATTTGATAAAAAGTGCCTCTCCCGTACCCCCATAACCTTAGTATAGGATAGGCTGACTAGATAGGCTCACTAGATAAATTGAGCTTGGACTAGGATCCTCCTTACCTGGATGCTTTACAAGTACTCCTAAGTTAGCCACCACTTAATGAAGACTATTAAGTACTCCAAAAAAAAGGTAATGTCATTCTAGCTGGGAAAATATACATACACACACACACACACACACACACACCGTATTAAACTTTTTATGAGGTAGTACGTAATATTTACTGTGCATTTTAAGATGCTAAGTTCAAGGCCAGGTACGGTACCTCACACCTGTAATCTCGGCACTTTAGGAGGCTGAGGCGGTGGATCACCTGAGGTCAGGAGTTCATGACCAGCCTGGCCAACATAGTGAAACCCTGTCTCTACTAAAAATACAAAAACTAGCCAGGTGTGGTGGTGCACACCTGTAGTTCCAGCTACTAGGGAGGGTGAGGCAGGAGAATTGCTTGAGCCTGGGAGGCAGAGGTTGCAGCAAGCTGAGATCACGATGCTGCACTCCAGCCTGGGTGACAGTGAGACTCTGTCTCAAAAAAAAAAAAAAATGCTAACTTAACAGTTACATAATTTGTATGTGCATCAGATTGGTCTTGAGATGCTTCTTTACATGGGAGAGGGAGCTGCTGCAGCTGACCATTTGATTTTTTTCCCCCCCGTGAGACAGAGCCTTACTCTTTTGCCCAGGCTGGAGTGCAGTGGCATGATCACGGCTCACTGCAATGTCTGCTTCCCAGGTTCAAGCGATTCTCCTGCCTCAGCCTCCAGGGTAGCTGGGATTACAGGCCTGCACCACCACGCCTGGCTAATTTGTGTATTTTTAGTAGAGGCGAGGTTTCACCATGTTGGCCAGGCTGGTCTTGAACTCCTGACCTCACGTGATCTGCCTTCCTTGGCTTCCCAAAGTGCTCGGATTACAGGCATTAGCATGGCGCCCAGCCTGGCCATTTGATTTTGAAAAGCTAAGAGAGCTATTATATTCCCAAATATGTTTATCTGCTAAGACTACAGAAAGCTGCCTTCCAAAGGAAGTGTTTTTTCAAACTTAATCTTACGGGTCCAAGAGGAATGGAACCAACAAAAGCCATAAACTACGTTCCCTCTTACCTACTGGATTGGTCTGGTCTTAATGGTCTGGAGTCATTCCTTATTCTTTTATAAATGTTCATAAACTGGACTTTCAGTGAGTATTGTCATTAGTAGTAATAATAAATGCTTATGCTAACACTGTTGATTCTGTGGTCTCCTTCAGTTCACAACTGGTAATCTCCCACATCTATTCCATTTCTAAGCTTTGAATTTAATTGCCTGAAATTACATTGTACCATAAAATTACCATGAGCCATATTTGCATCCTACTTTGCTACAGTTTGTACTGGGCATGGTAACTTTTCTTAAACTTGAAAACATTAAGAATTGCTGCTTAAGCTTAAACTTCACAGTTAAGGTCTTGAAAGTTAAGAATTTGAATAAGAGAAACAAAAATTATAGCTGAGGTTTGAACTTTATACCAATAGAAAATACTATTGTCTATTGGAGGTGCTGACACATAAGCATCTAAAGATCAGGAAGACTAGTCTGGACAGGATTCTTGATCCAGAAGTTTGTCTAGACAGCATCTTTCACATCTTCAGGTGATCTACAGGTTTTTGTTTTTTTTTTTTTAACTTTAATTATGAAGGGAAAAAAGGATACTTGGCATCAGGCTGTCCTTTCTTTCCATAAGCCCATTCTGGTTCAATCTCCAGTCGAGCCTTTTCTCCTTTACTCATAGTCAAGAGGGCTTCATCCCACTGAAGGCAAGAACAAAATAAAAACTAATGGTATTCTGCAAAAAGCACATGTAATACCAGGACAGTAAAGACAAGATTGTATGTTAAACACAGAATCTATTACTATAGATTTCACTATATTCTAAGGTAATGTACTTCAGTTGAGTTCCTAAATCTTTGTCTTCCATTTCTTCAATAGAAAAAAAATAAGGGTATTTTAAGCAGGGCTTTTTTAATGTGAAAAGAACCTTTTGGGGCTCATGCCTGTAATCCCAGCACTTTGCGAGGCCGAGGTGGGCAGATCACTTGAGGTCAGGAGTTCGAGACCAGCCTGGCTAACATAGTGAAATCCCATGTCTACTAAAAATAAAATAAGCTGGGTGCGGTGGCGGGTGCCTGTAATCCCAGCTACTCGGGAGGCTGAGGCAGGAGAATCACTTGAACCCAGGAGGTGGGGGTTGCAGTGAGCCAGGATTGCGTGACTGCACTCCAGTCTGGGCAAGAGAGGGAGACTCCATCTCAAACAAAAACTTTTTGTAAACTGTAACATGCCATATATTATGAAAATCAGTTTGTTATTAGCACCATTATAAAAACAACCTGCAACGCTTTTACATCACAGGACAAACTTGACTTTATTTTTATTGGAATATAATGGCAAGTACTCACTGTAAAACTGTTTTAAGATTACCAAATTGTAATAGTGGAGTCATGTTGGCACATAAAATACAATTTTTTTCTTTTTTTCTTTTGAGTTGGAGTTTCGCTCTTGTTGCCCAGGCTGGAGTGCAATGGCGTGATCTTGGCTCACCACAGCCTCTGCCTCCTGGGTTTAAGTGATTCTCCTGCCTCAGCCTCCCTAGTAGCTGGGATTACAGGAATGCCCAGTTAATTTGGGAAATACAATTTTTAAAATGTTACGGCACTTTTGCAAAAGTGCAAAAGGTAAAACTAACTTTTCAAAGAAACAATAAAAGGCTTCTGGGTTGGCCTCTCCATATTTTCCAAATTTGGATCTTAAAGCTAGTTGCCACAAACAGTTAAGTTCACATCACCACAGGGATAATATTCCTAATACTATACGCGCTATTGAAATACAACAATCATATAAAGCTCAAGGGACAAAGTTATGGTGGTCACATTTGGAAAATAAGAATATGGTAGACTAGCCGGACATGGTGGCTCACGCCTGTAATCCCAGCACTTTGGGAGGCTGAAGAGGGTGGATCACTTGAGGTCAGGAATCAAGAGCAGCCTGACCAACATGATGAAATCCCGTCTCTGCTAGGAATACAAAATTAGGTGAGAGGTGCATGCCTGTAATCCCAGTTATTCCAGAGGCTGAGGCAGGAGAATTGCTTGAACTCATGAGACAGAGATTGCAGTGAGCTGAGACTGCACCATTGTACTCCAGCCTGGGCAACAAGAGCGAAACTCCATCTCAAAAAAAAAAAAAAAAACAGTATGGCAGACTAGAAGAAATTTACCAGTATGCAAATAAGTTACAGAAATAGAAAAATAGTCCAATTTGATATATACTTGCTATCAACTTGGTATGGGCAGGTAACAATTTGTTTTTGAGATGGAGTCTCGCTCTGTTGCCCAGGCTGGAGTGCAGTGGCGTGATCTTGGCTTACTACAATCTCCACCTTCCGGGTTCAAACAATTCTCCTGCCTCAGCCTCCCAAGTAGCTGGGACTACAGGCGAGTGCTACCATGCCCAGATAATTTTTTGTATTTTTAGCAGAGACGGGGTTTCACAGTGTTAGCCAGGATGGTCTCGATCTCCTGACCTCATGATCCGCCCACTTCGGCCTCCCAAATTGCTGTAATTACAGGCTTCAGCCACCATGCCTGGCCGGGGCAGGTAACAATTATAAGTAATGCTCAACTAAACCTTTAGTTTCAAGATATTTTATGTTCTGTATATGATTGTCTGAACCATATCTTAGTTCCTATTACTGCATTTAAATAGGCATTTCAGTTACTGGTGTCTGATGTTCTGACAATAACAATTTAAAACAAACAATGGGCACAATGGGCAGGCCCTAGCATGATTCATAGAAGGTGACAGTCCATCCTGCTCTTTTATCTTCTTTTGTACACTGTAATGGTCAGTATGGGTCAAGCCTAACTTCCCCTTTTCTCAAAGTTTCTTTCTGTTCTCTCTCACATATAAGTGTAGGTTAAAGCACGCAATGATTTTCTGGTATTGCAGCCTATGTTGTATGAGGTGAAAAGGCTACAGAAACAAACTCTGCTTCTATGAGTACTTCAGTGGAACAGATATTTTACCTTTGCAAATTATATGTAAATGGTACAAATGTCCTGTAAGACGTTTTACAGGAAGCTTAAAGACAAATTTAGAGGGCCAAATGTTCTGACAAAGACTTACTTTATGAAGAAAAATAATAAAATGGGTACACATGGAAGGGACTAACATTTAAGCCCCTGTTGTATTAGGTACTTCCAAGTTATGCTCATTTAATCTTCTAACAACCTTGAGGTAGGCAGTACTGTCCTCATTTTATAGATAGTGAAACTGAGACCCAGACAACTTGTGCAAGATCAGCTAGCAGTGATTATACCGAATTTGTCAGACTCCAAAGTCTGTTTCCTTTGTATTATATCCCCAAACCTAATTATTTAAGGCACCATACCAGAAGCAGCATGTGCCAGAATATCTACTGATTCACTGGCATTCTTTACTTACTCCTCTGATAACTTTGCCTACTCCGACCTTAAAACTTAAAGGCTTGGCATTTTTCTTCTTCTTTGCACCTGTAAAACAGATTTTCCTTATAATTAATGATATACTCTAATTTATTATTAAGAAATTTCCATTGGAAATTATTAAATTCCAATGCAAAAATATAGTGGTTTGATTTCAGAATTACAATACTATATTTTAAAAGAAAGAAAAATCTACAAAGTCAGATCATCCATCAATAAAATTCTGGCTATAAAAATAATTACATTCTTAACAAAGGGTAGAAGGGCAGGACCTATACTTATATCACAAAACAGCATACTATCCTGCCTTTTCTATTCAAATACTAATGCCTTACTTTTGGACATTAACCAGGTTTAGACTGAGATTCCTTATCTTTTGCTTTCCAATGAACAAGAGGTCTTTAGCCAGCCAATAATCAGTGAACTGAAGACCTCTTCCAAGTAGATCTTAGGGGGAAGTATGTCTGGATAAAAGTAGGTGACAGTTAGGAAAAAGGTACTGCTAACTACTCATCTGTCTGCTACCCAAGTATTTCGAATCTCTTTAAGCCAAAATCGTAAGATTACATTTAGACTTACTTGTTTGAATATTAGTATCAAAAACAGTCCCATCTTGTAGTGTTCCTGTATACCAGCAATGAACAACATCTCCCTTTTTGGGAAAGTTGGTTTTATCTCCCTTTTTCAGAACAGATTTAGTATATTTTGGTGGACCCTAAAAACAAAACACAACACACACACACAGAGTTATTAATTTGTGTACTTTAAAAGAATGACAAACAATAGCCAACAATGACCAACGTCAGTTTAAAGAGTTTGATGGATTTGGTAATAAACAAACAAAACACTCAGTATCTAATTTCAGGGCTGTGATGTGACTATTAGTAACTTACACATCTATAATTTCAAATAACTTCCAGCTTCTTTGGAAGCCTCAATTCTTCTAATAAGATTCTGTTAATTACTCACCAAACCATAACATGATTTCAGTTATTTCCTAAAGTTAAAAAAAATTACTATTTAATTCCTATGAAATCATAAGGCATTAAAATAAGGGATGGTGACTTCCTCCCACAAAGATTTGAACTGTTTTAGCAGCAATAATTGATATTACTAGGTGTTTTTATTATATCCAATTAGAATGAATACAGTGATATTGCCTCTGACCCTGATTTGGAAAATAAATTCACACAATGGATGACATTACCTAAAGAAATAACAGGCATATTTCCTAGAACAAAGTAGGATTATCAGGGTCTTCTAAAAAAAAGGTTACAGATTAATCTGATCAATAGTAATTCATATATGAGAGGAAAGCAGACAGAGGAACTGTCAAGAATCTTAGGGAGTTAATTAAAAAAAAGAGGTGTACCAAATTTAAAAGTATCCTCCTTACCTGATATCTATTTGGTTTCTAAATTCAGACCAAATTCAGAGGGATCTGCATTATCCAAATCTGTATTTAGTTTCTAAATTTCATAAAATAAATAACAAAGGTGTGGGTGGATATCAAATTTTTCAAATCTATTAGTTCCTGAGTTTGAAAAGCAAGATAAAGTGTTTTCTTTATTCCTGGCCTATTTCTTTTTTTTTCTTTTTTCTTTTTTTTGAGATGGAGTCTCACTCTCGCCAGGCTGGAGTGCAACGGTGTGATCTCGGCTCACTGCAACAACCTCTGCCTCCTGGGTTGAAGTGATTCTCCTGCCTCAGCTTCCCGAGTACCTGGGACTACAGGCTCCTGCCACCATGCCCCACTCATTTTTTGTATTTTTAGTAGAGACACGGTTTCACCATGTTGGCCAGGATGTTCTCAAACTCCAGACCTCGTGATCCGCCCGCCTCGGCCTCCCAAAGTGTTGGGATTACAAGTGTGAGCCACAACGCCTGGCCTATTCCTCATCTATTTCTAATTGGTCAAGGTATGCAAATTTTTATTCACTTTCATTTCCCTAGCTGAAGGTTTTATCCTTTTCCAAAACTTGTAAGTAAAAATATCTGTGCTGGGTGCAGTGGCTCACACCTGTAATCTCAGCACTTTGGGAGGCCAAGGTGGGTGGATCACTCGAGGTCAGGAGTTTGAGATCAGCCTGGCCAACATGGTAAAACCCCATCTGTATTAAAAAATTAGGTGGGTGTGGTGGCGTGTGCCTGTAATCCCAGCTACTCGGGAGGCAGAGGCAGGAGGATCACTTGAACCCAGGAGGCGGAGGTTGCAGTAAGTCGAGATAGCACCACTGGGCCACAGAGCGAAACTCCATCTTAAAAAAAAAAAGTCTGATCTCCTTGCAAATAGTCTACCTCTTGGACAAAAGATTCTCTCCCTGACCAAACCCTAGCTAGGATCCTCTGAGCCCTCTTCTCCACAAGGCTTCAACCTTGCACTATAAAGATCTGAACAAACACAAGTTTCAAATAGCTCAATGCCTTATTCCTAGGAGGACCTGATCTCTCCTTAAAGTGCCTGCCCAAGAAAACTTAAGGCTGCCAAAAAAATTTACTGTTTGTTCCAGCCAACGCCTGAAGATGAAGATATGACCCTGTCTCTAAGTCTCTATGGGAGCCTAACTTTGATAAGCACCAGTTGGCAAACTCAGATAGGTTTCTTATGGACCGACCCCCACTTCCTACTTTTTGTAATTTTTCACTTCCCTAACTCTGCTTAAATCCCTCCCTACTCCCTCATTCTTTTTTTTGAGACGGAGTCTCGCTCTGTCTCCTAGGCTGGAGTGCAGTGGCGCCATCTCGGCTCACTGCAAGCTCCACCTCCCGGGTTCACGCCATTCTCCTGCCTCAGCCTCCCAAAGTAGCTGGCACTACAGGCGCCCGGCTAATTTTTATTTGTATTTTTAGTAGAGATCAAAAAAAAAAAAAAAAAGACCAGGGTCAGTCA